CAAAATTAACCCACCAAATATTTGAAACGGATTTTTAATGCGTTTAATTTGAAACATAAAAAGGTCATACTTATACATTTCGCTTTCAAACCAAACTTTATAGCTCTTCTACATATGACATTCCTTACCACAGAATTAGTATTTTATTATGAAGATTTTCTTTTTACGAGTGTATATAATATTTATAAACTCAAGAGATTTATATTTTAATTTTCTTTTATTGTTATCTACTCACTGAGTAGTATCCAAAATATTACAAGTCTTTTTTATTTTAATCTTAATTCTTTTTAAATACATATATTAGTCAGTTCGTTTAAGTTTCACTTATCCTTAATATTATTATAGTAAATTTTAGATGAGTCAAATTAAAAAAAAAATTAAGAATAAATTATACGAGAAATGACTAAACCACATTCATGCTTAATGTTCTTAAGCTTAAAATTTTATTAGCTATATTGAGAATATAATCTTGAATTCCTCAAATATTATCATATTAAATTTTAGTTAATTATTTTATTAATATATCAACCATTGACTTATCAGTAAATTTAAATTTAAATTGATCTTTAAAATATTCCAATGAGCTAATTTTAGACTATAATGAAGTCTAAATATTATTAGCAATTATCATAAAATTAAATCTCTTAGACCTTTCTCGAATAGTTATCTCAATTATTTGTTCTATAAAACTTTTAGTAGTTCAGTTTTTGATCCTTTCAACTAGTTTAACTAAGGTGTAACACACCTAATATAAATTATATATACTCAAGCCTTTTATAATAATTTAATCCAAAAAATATGGGGACATTTAAAAGAAATATAATAAAGGATGTACCATTTAAATAATATAATATTAATGGTTTGAGTTTTTTTAGGTAATGTTAAACTATTGATATCATCTATATTTCACCTTTGCATGAAATATTAATATATCTAGTATTCACATAAAATTATTTATGAAGAATTGATAACATTCTCATGAAATAGTACTTTTACTTTTGGGTATATAACCTTAAACTATAATGATATTCAAAACAATGTCATTCTATCCTATTATATAATTATTTGAAGTAGATTATCCATTGAAAATATCTAAATCTCTTAATTTTATATGCCATTATGAATATTATTTAAGATTAATTTTTTAATATAATTTTATAAGTTATTGCTTTAGGTCACTTTGGCAACTATAAGACCGATACAATAATATAAAATATAGTTTAAAATATCCTATAAATGATAATACATTTATTATAAATTATATCGCATAATCCTATCATCTTAAGCTACTTAGTAGCTACGAGTCAAATAAAACTTAGGGATATAAGTTACAAATAATATTCATCAAATTTATTTAGTCCAATTTATATCAAAATAGTTTAATAATAAAATAATAATCATAATAATTACTAAACATTAATCAATATAAATAATAACTCATATGATAATTATAATCATGATAAATCATTAATCATGATTTTATTTAAAAATATTATTTCATAATTTTAAATATATATATATATATATATATGTGAATAATCAAATAAATATCTGAGAATAATAATTAAAATTTTATTTATCATGTGCAAAATATAATCAAAGTGATATGAGAAAACTATAAAAAAATTATAAGTTATAATTTTTTTTTAATTTTACATAGAACCCTTAGACTAGTTAATCATATTTAATTAAGAAAGCCTAAAATTGGACTAAATATTAACCCAATTAGGTCATGCAAAAATAAAAATTGATAAAAAAATTAATTATTTTTCTAAATTTGATCAAAGTATTTGATTAAAATAAATCAAATTAGTTAATTTTATAATTAAGGACATAATTTAAAATTTTTAATCTCTAAAGGATAAAACTATAATTTTGATATAGGATATATAATAGAAAATTTTAAATTCTTAAGGGTACAATGGAAAGTTAACTTACAAACATAAATTAAAATTATCTAAATTTTGAGAGGTAAAAAAGCCTTTTAAGGAAACTCTAACTATCTCCCTTTCTATGGTCATTATCTACAAGAGGCATGATCGCCACCTACGCAAGGCACTATAGTCGCGGTGCATGATCATTGCTTGTGCGAGACGCCATAGCCACCATCTGTGGTCGCTGCGTGAGGCGCAGCCATCGCCACCGTGCACAATCACTACCTACGCATGGTGTCCAACATCCAATTCACGTCAGCCATAGCTAACAAATGATGTCGTAGTCACCGTGAACAACAGCGCTGCATAGTCATTGTAACTACCACCGTCAACGGTGCTATCGCAATTGTCACACTCAACGGTGCTGTCATAGTTGCCACATGCAACGGTGCTGCATAGTCACTGCCTACAATTAGGCGGATGACCACCGTAGGTCATTATCCTCAATAATACTATTGTCAACAATAAATTGTCAATAGTAGTCCATTGATCAAACATGAGGAACCTTATATCGCCCACAGGTAAATAATAGGATGAACTAAATAGAAAAATAAATCAATAATACCGATAAATTATTCATACATCGTAAATAAAAACTAATTAACACATTTTCATGAGTAAAAGGTGCTAACAAATAGGTCTAAAGTGTTTAATTTTAAAACTATGGCTCCGATACTAATTATAAGCATAAAAATTATAAGATATTATTATTTTATAAAAAAATTTAATGTCAAAACCTAAAATCAAAAAATAATATATCTGTAAATTTATTATACATGCCTTTCGATGATGCTCATAAAGCCTTTATCTGATCTATAAGTATATTATCATCGGATCGAAGATCTGTAGTAATATCGATCTATCATAAGAACTAGACTTGTTTTCTCCTCTCTTCATATCTTTCGTAAAACCATTATGAGCGATAAATTTAGAAATAAAAAGAAGATGAGAGAATATTTATAATCTCTCATTGACTGGTTCACGTGATTCAAAAGGAAATGAGAGAATACATATAATCTCTTAATTTTGTTACGTATTTCCATTTTTATACATTGTGTTATATGTATAGTCCATGTGGAGTTTTGTTTATTTATAAGCGAGAGTAAAAGGTATAGAATAAATAATTAGGAGAGTTCCTTCTATCAAAATCATCTCATAAGTAATTTTATCTTGAACTTTCTTTAAGCTTTCAAAAAGTACCATTGTTTTATGTTGATCTGCTTCTCAAAATTGTAACCTACCTTTGATCGATTGAATCATCTTGTGCACCAGCTTTGCACTCTCAAGGAATCCTTTCTCCATTCCAATCGAGACTTGCTGCCAAGCACAAATGGCTCCGCGACTCCATCCCAAGTCAGTGAGCCATGTAGGAAAAGGTTCCTTAGGAACATGGCTGAGGTGACTCATCAGTGCAATCAGGACTTGCGGCCAAGCGCAAATGACTCCATGAATCCAACCCAAGTCAGTAAGCCATGTAGGAAAAGGTTCCTTAGCAACATAGCTGAGATGACTCATCAGTGCCTACCTAGTCATCCAAATGACATCACCTGCATCTCCTTTACAGCCATCGAACACATCAGATTCAACAACATCGATCATGTCCTTGTTCTTCGAGGCACATCCTCTTGAATATATAAATGTATATATAATCAAAACAAGGAGAAAAGGTGGTGATGGAATTCCAACGAAAGCTTGGGAAGATCTGATAAAGGTCGGTCCCCAACAAGAAAGTAGGGCACTCCAATAGAAGAAGAAGAAGAAGAAGACATGCATCACGAGAGGCATCATGGTCGGGAAAGGAAATCAAGGAGGTGGAGCCATGAGCTTTGTGTTGTCAAAAACCATGGCATGAGCACCATAATACGAGCATGAGATGGCATGGTGTAGCCCCCACGCTTTTGGCGTCGAATTGGGTCTAGGGTTTGTGAGCCTTTCGGTGGAATTGGCCCTATCACATCAAGTGGAGCACATGTGGAGGGATCGTCAAATGCTCGATGCCTTTTTCTCTTTGGCCTTCTCTCACTTGTCGTGCCATGCTATTTTTCCTATGTTGATCCTTCTTTAAGGTGAATTATTATAGCTGATCCCATCTTCTTTTCTGGTATGAGAAGTATGGCTGATCGAATCCGACGTAGAAACATAAGATACGTTTCTATGGGAAGAGGGGAGAAGATGGTGACCAGACAAGAGGGATGACACGACTCCATCGCCCGAGGAATCTTCAGGGCTGGCCCGCCGTCGGTTCACTGGGGCCGGCGACTGCCTCGGGCGGCGCGAGACACGTCGAAGTAGGGCGGGCCCGGCTGAGCTGTCGCGCAGGCCGAGCCGGTGGAGGGGAGAGCGGGGAGGAGCTCTCGCGGCACAGTGTCCACGTCGGCGTCTCGTCGTCTTCCGCGGGGAGCGGGGGCCACCACGGCACCGCCCAGCGACTGCCCGGACGCTGCGCGGGGCCCGCGCCGCGTCCTTCCCAGCTCGAGGAAGGCAAAAGCTGAGGAGGAGACGACAACGATGGGGGAGGAGGCGTGGGGGAGACTCGGAGGTCCTCTTTGGCAGCCAATGGCAGCTCGCCATGCTGCATCTTATTCCCGTTCCCGTCTCCTTTACGAATCTCTGATGCTATCACCCACCATTTCTCACTTTAAACTCCATTGCACCATCCCTAGAATCCGGTCCGCGTCCATCCGATTTCGTTCGAGTCTTCGTACGTTATCAATCCTCACATGAGTACCACAAGATATCGGATGGTCGAATCAAAATCGTATGAGATTTTTTATGTAATCTTGTTTACTATAGTCAATAATAATAATAATTCATCGCGTTTACATAATTTGCGAATTACTAAGATAATTTCTGTTCATATTACCAACACAGTAGCATATATCCAAAGATGGAGGGAGTGCACATATCAATCCATTATAGCTGGGAGTGCATCACGCAAAATAATACACACACACTGATGGGCAAAAGGTGCGTGGATGACCGGAGATGGGAGAGTAAACTAATGGTGTGATCCAGCCAATCGTACGTGGCTGGTTGTCTGTAAAGATTCTGAGTGCCATTGCATCTCTGTATAAATACCCTTCCATCCCCAATGACCTCTCCCACCCCACTGCTTTGGTAGATCACTTGTCGCTCCACTCTTGTTCTCCTTCAGCTCTTCTCACCTTCTCCCATGGCTTCTGTTGAGGTGAGCCACGACCTTGTCCTATGAGCCATCAGCTGCAATTGGCTTCTGTCATGATCCTCCTGCCTAGAGATCAGATCAGATCAGCAAAAGAGTAGGTTGTGTTGTGTGTGTGGGGGGAGGGGGTTTACTTGAGATCAGATCGATGATCTCAGGTTCGATCATGTCTGGTGTAGCTATCCGAACCTGAAGAGAGCATGAACTCACTTGTTATCTCTCTTCTCGGGAACACTCGGTTGTAGATGGAGTGAGGGTTGAACTCTGCCTGCATCTACTTTAGATCTGCTAGAAAGATGTGATTCCTAGGAAGAGCTCCTGGATCTGCATGCTCAGTCGTCATCCACACCGATGCACGGCCGAGTTAGAGCTAAATGTCTCCTTCTGTTGTCTTCATGCAGGTCGAATCAGCTCCTGTCGTTGAGGTTCCGGCTGATGTCCCGGTTGCTACTGTCGTCGAGGCCGAACCTGCACCTGCGCCGGCCGTCGAGGCCGAACCTGCTCCTGCTCCGGCCGTCGACGAGCCCAAAGAAGAAGAAGAAGAAACCCCAGCAGAAGAAGCAGCAGCAGCAGCAGAGCATGAGGAGACGCCGGCTGAAGAGCCCGCGGCCGAGCCCGTAGCCACCGAGGCCGAACCGGCAGCAGCGGAGCCTACCGAGGAGGCAAAGCCGGAGGCTGAACCCGAGGCCGCCGCTCCCGTAGCTGAGGAGACCACGGATCCGACGGTCGAGGAGCCGGAGGCGGCAACCGAAGAAGCCGCTGCACCGGCCGCCGCCGAGGAGGCTGCAGCGGAGCCGGCCGTGGCCTCGGAGTGAAGTCATTTGAGTGAGGTTTGATGCCATTTAAGAGTTACTAGTAATAATAGCTGCTATGGGAATAATATATCGGAGTATGTCATCAGTGAGTCTTTGTTATTGGGTGGAGTCTCATCTGTAATCCTTGTTTAGTGTGGCATGCAGTGTGTGTTAGCATTATCACTTTATTCATTGTCTACTACCGTCAATGGGGTCTTTTATCATATCAGCTTCTATGAAATCACCTCCTTTTTCTTCACGTTGAATTCTAACCCATACCAAAGTGTCGTCCTAAATCCCATGTTTGAGTTCAAGTCACCAGAGGTATATAACTATGGTTAAGACACATGTATTTTCTTTTTAGATATTTGTTTCTAATATTTTGCACCCCGGATGCACCGTTTGATGGGCTTGAGATTTGTGCAACCATCTCATGTACGGTAACACCCTTAATCTAACCGCACCTTCTATTACTTAATCATATAATCCGTATGAATCGCTATTGACAGAAACAAGTGTTAGAAAAACTATATATATAAAGAGAAAATGATGTGTCTAAGGCCAACATTCCAAATCTATTTGACCAAATGATGTTGACTATGTAGTACTTGTCGTGGGAAACAACCGTAAGCCGTGGCCTCGGGGCCGATGCGGCTTGGTTCGGGTTCGAATGCGTGGGGATCCGGCGCGGCGCTCCTCGGGGCAGTCGGGGTGGCCCGTCACGGTTGTCCGGATGGAATGTAGCGCGGGGGTGAAGCCTCCGCGCAGCGTGGCGAAGGTGCGACCTCGCCTTCATTCCTGCACACAGGTCGGGTCAGAAGCTTGGCCCGACCCCTCCGACGATCAAGTCAGATGATGTGGAAGGTAGTTTTTCTGGTGAAGAAGTGTCCTCCCCCTTCGTTTTGAACTCGGGGGGTATTTATAGGGTGGTTTAGTGTTACCTGATGTGCCTGCCTGCGGGGGGCAGGGTCGTACCTCTGATGGCATCTAACGTTGCTATAGACGTTGCGTGGAGAACCGAACTGCCGCAGGGTATGGGCGAGCTTTGGTCGTTGTCCTCCTCTGCCTTGGTTAAGCGCGCGGGGTTAGACGACGACGAAGTCATTGTTTGAGAGCGGATGATGTCAGCGCATGTCGAGTCAGCATTATTGCCCTCCTTCTCGGACAGAGTGGCGCCCAGGTGGGCCCGACGTCGTGACACGTCATGTCGCCATTATTACCCCTATCAGTACTAATGAGAAAGCTAACTTAAATAAATTATTAATTTTGTATCTTTGTATTTGGTGTATATTTAATTTTGACGTACCTTAAATACTTGATAAAATCATTTAGTTCCACATGAACATGAGCAAATCTCCTTTAACTTCTGCATCTTTTAAAACTCATATCCATTGAAAAGATAAAATCTTACAGTATACTCATAATCCCTTATTAATATTATAAATTTATATTATTGATATTTTGAACCTCGAATAACTTCATATTAGATAACTAAATTTATCATAATATTATTTTAAATCTAGTAAAGGATTATCATCATTTATATTTATCATTAATATTGTCAATAAAATATTTGTTTTCTCTTAAAAATTATATTTTTTAAACCTACTTATTTATTGTGAACATTATTTTATCCGCGGGTAACGTTTGTAATCGTACCAAAGCTCCCCACTCATTCCAGTCGGGGTCCACCTGGACCTCCCCAGGTATGTGTTCCGCCGAACCACACAGCTTGGCGAGACCCACATCCACAGGCCATCGAATGCACGGCACGAGCAAAGTGTGGGTCCCGCGCAGCGGAGGCGGGTTACACAGTTGAGTCAAAGCCAAAAGAGTGCGATAGTTTAATGAAAATTAAGAAAAGGAACGCCGAATCTGTTACTCCAGAAATACCACACCACTTATTTCCCTTCAGGCGACGGGCCCCACTGCACCTCTCATGGGTCAACATCGGGTGACGTGATTTTGGAGTACAAATCCGCTGCTGCCTTTCGGAAACTTAAAGCGGGCATGTCCACGCCACAGGTGCAATCGGATCCTCCCCAGCCACTGCATCAGTAAAACTTCGATCCGACCGTCAATTCTTAAAACTAACGTCAATGAACGGTTCCGATGCCGGTCATTCCAGTTCTATTCAAATTAATTCTGAAGAAGATCCTTAATCCCTGAGGACCTTCGTCCCCGGTGCCCCTCTCCTCACACAAAACGTGACACCATCAAAGCCATTGATTTACATAAATACCCCTACAATTTATCCGAAAACTACAAATTTACCCCTACCCGGGAGAATAAAACAGACCACACCTACTCGTCCTCCGTGCCGCGGGTCGCTTTCATTGACCGACACTAATGCGGTCCGTCCGATCACTTGCACAGACTCCGACGAACGGTTCAGATCTAGCATCGCTGCCTTCGAGTCCACCGGCTTTTGATACGGTGTACGAGGACGCCTCGGGAGGGACGAAAAGCATGAGGCGAAGCCGTTCAAATCGGTGAATGGCAGGCTCGTAGTTTACGCTAAAAGCATGGGCGGTTGTGGAATGACGATTAAATTAATGGAAAGTATTCCAACGGTTTCATGGCCTTCATCTGCTATAAATACTTCCGACCTGTGAAGCCTCTTTGCTTCTCACTTCGCTGCCGCTGCTTTGTCCTTCACGTTCTCTTCTAGGGTTCGGTATCGTTCTTCTTCCTCGAGGCGATGGCGGATGTGGCGTTGCTGGGTTTCAAGCCGCAGCTGGTTGTGCCGGGGATGAAGGCGGAGGCGGCTGTGCAGTTCTACAAGGCGGCATTCGGGGCGGAGGAGATCGGGAGGGTGACGCACCCGAAGCGCAAGGCGGAACAGGAGTGCCCCCTCATCCTCTCCGCCGAGCTCAAGATCGGCTCCTCCTTCATCCTCGTCAGCGACTGCTTCGACGCTGCGTAATCCCTGGCATTCCCCCAACTCAACCCTAGCTCCCCGATCTTTAGGGATCTCATTAGGTTGGTGATTTCGGTGGTGATGGCAGAGGAGAGGAGAGTGCCGCGGCCGCTGGAGGCGGTGGGATCGCGTTCCGGCTGGAGGCGGAGGACGTGGACGCGGCCGTGAAGAAGGCGGTGGCTGCCGGTGCGGAGGTCATGAGCGAGGTGTTGGAGGAGGAAGGCAGCCTTCTCGGGAAGGTGAAGGACCCGTTCGGTGTCGTCTGGGCCATCGCGGCCGTCGGGAAGAAGAGCCCCGAGCCCGAGGCTTGATCCGGGCCGTCGACTCTAACCTCTCACTTCCTTAGGGATGCATTTATAGCTGGACTTAAAACTAATAGAGGCATTAGCAGTAGCGAAGCAGTTTACGCTAACTCATCTATGCTTAATCTTGAAGACTTGTTATTTAGGATGGCGGTTGTCACGGTTGCCGCCGAAGCTTCTCACGGCCACCGACGGTTGATATTATATTTGAGATGCTTTAGCCCCTTTTCTTTTGCAGGAAACTAGAAAGACTCAACTTTTACAGGGGGCGACCGCATCATATTTTTGATGATAGTATTAATGTTCCATGTGATATCCATTCGACACTGATCACATAACCTTCGTTTTCTTTTTAGTTATGGTTTACAGATGTCATGAGCTATCTGCTTGCTTCGTTCTTTACTGTCTTTTAGATGTTCGTTCAATGTTCAGGGGACCACGAAGAAAAGGTTTTGGGAAGGCTGCTCTGTTCTTGGGGAAAGTTGCATGCTTGCGTTAATATGCACATCTCATTAATGCTTTTTAGGGGCAACAGCTAATTTTTGTGTTGGATATGGTTGCCTGATCTTTAATCAGGCACGAACTTATTATTATTAGCTTGTCTGCTTCGGTGCCATTGCATTTGTTGTTTTCTGCATTTGTTGTTATTTGGTGTTGGTTCTTCGAGCATCTGTCCGCTACTCGGGTTTTGTGTTGTACTGTAAGGCATTTGACCCTGTATCCTGTTGGAACAGGCTAATCAAGCTCTGTACTGCACAGGAATTATTTCCAGTCACTTGGTCTGCAGGGTCATGGCATCTTTTTCTTGCTATGTAATTGTTTAGGCACATTAAATAATGTTAAGTTTGACTCTTACTCATCATTATTTGATTTCTAACAATCACATAAAATAATATGAATCATCCCAAGCCAAATATCCTCTTTATAATTAGTGGTTGTGACTTTTGACCTTTTGCCTTGTCAATCAATCTGCATCATATTTGATGGCACTAATTTTAAAGTGAATACTAATCCAGCTTAAACCGTTGTCACTTGATCTATCTCGAGCTAGTAATAGTGGGCTCATACATGGTCTTGTATATGAAAGCAACATGCATAATAATAAACTCCGAATGAATATTCTAATCAGACAATTATAATATACTTTAATATAGCAAAAATACTTTCACCACCATCATTCACGCTATCTACACTTATAAAGAAAAATAATGAATGCTACAAATGACCAGTTTATGTTTGTTAACCATAAACTAAAAGGAGGTGTCTTAGCAACACACAGTCTAGTAACATAAATAAATAAAAAAAATATATATATTTCTAAGGTCCCAAAAACATTGAATTCCTATATAGTCTTATAAATTCAAAGAATTATATGTATAGAGTATTCAGAAATTTTTTTACTTAAATGAAGAATGATTTCAATTATAGCTGCATTCAAACAATCAAATTGGGTTAGCCAATTCCAAACCAGATAGCTGCATTGATCGATGAGTCCGGCCGGTTCGTTCGACCTTGCGAACTCCCATCACGGTTCGGGTTGAAGTTCAAGATCACGCCGTACACGTTTTGATCCGACGGCTGATTTAGCGCCCCTCCTGGGAATTGCTATAATTACATCGCAGCCAACGTATTCTGCCCGCTATATAAAAGGCTAGGGTTTGGGCTGCTGAGAAGATCTCTGAAACCGAGGAGTGCGGCGGCGGACTTCGGGAGAGAAGAAGAGGGCGCAGTGTTTCTCACCACCGCCGGCCAACATGGGTAAGGATCGGAACCTTAGATTCTCGATTCCGGTAGGAAACGCTGATATCTGATCGGGTTTTTCCTTTTACCCAACTTCCATCCATGGCGTTGCTCTCCTGCTCGCAGGTATCTCGCGAGACTCCATGCACAAGAGGCGGGCCACCGGAGGGAAGAAGAAGGCGTGGCGGAAGAAGAGAAAGTGAGTTCCTTCTTTGTAATCTGTTCTATTTTCTTGCAAAACATTTTCGCTTGAAGCTGTTTGTGTCCACTTTAAGCGTTGATTATTTGTAGCATTCGCTTTCCTGCACAAGTTAGTTCTTTGTTTCATAATATTGTGAAAAGATTAGGACTTTTGCTCTCATGGATGTACGATCGAGTCACCCCAGCCTCCGTTGTTTGAATCTCTGCGCCTCTGAAAATTCTTTGCTGTTAGGCTTTCGGTGGTTTCTCTTGAAAAGTTGGGGATTTTGTTTGAATCCACTAATATGTTTCTCTTTTTCCTTTCTATTTGTATTTTACTCGTTTTTTTCCCGATAATTATGTTTGAGATGGTTTTGCCGTGATGTAATGTTAGTCTTGCCTCGAAAGGTACGAGTTGGGAAGACAGCCTGCCAGTACGAAGCTTTCGAGCAACAAGACCGTGAGGAGGATTCGAGTTCGAGGAGGCAACGTGAAGTGGAGGGCCCTCCGATTGGATCATGGCAATTACTCATGGGGGAGCGAGGCAGTGACTCGCAAAACCCGTATCCTTGATGTGGTCTACAATGCTTCAAACAACGAACTTGTGAGGACACAGACCCTTGTGAAGAGTGCCATTATTCAGGTTGATGCTGCCCCATTCAAGCAGTGGTACCTTCAGCACTATGGTGTTGAGATTGGTAGGAAGAAGAAAGCCCCTTCTGCTAAGAAGGAAGCAACAGAGGTGATTCTCTTTTGTGTGAAGTTTTCTGGAGTCCCTGATAGCCATGTGTTTTTAGTTTTAGTTAAAATTGTTTGTTGATACTTTCATTAGAGTTTCATTTTATATATATCCTGATGACTTTCTGAGGCTGTATCTCAGATTTGAGAAGACACCTCTAAAATAGTGATGGATACGTGGCCAAAGTAAAGTTGGGCAAGGATGGAGTTTGCTTGATAAACCAAGATGTTAGCTAATGGGTTAAAAATATGTAATTTTTTTCCACAGGAGCATAGCAAGGAGTAGCATAATTATATATAGTATGAGATAGAAGTTTGAGTTAGAGATGCAAACTTTAGTTGATCAGATCCATGATCATTCTTTCCATCTTAATCACTGTAGCAGATGTGATCAAGTAGAAGCAATCTAGTTGTATTTGTTGGACATTTTGATTCATCATTGAATGGGTTGATTTACGCATAGAATGCAAAATAAATTAAGGTGATCGAATATGTATCACACACATACAAATTTGGGGCTGCTTTAAACATGATATCAGTTTCTTTTCCCATAATACAACTCAGATTGCCAGCAACCTATAAATTGGATTTCAAAAATAGTATTATACCATTGTAATCCTTGTAAATGGCCATAAGTTCCATATTGGCAATCTCAACACTTGAGAAACTAATGTTTGTGGATTTAAGTCGAACAGAACTTTTGTTTAGGATTTAAATTTCCAGTTTGGATATTGTACAGGGGACCATATCTGCTATTACACCTGAAAAAACCTTACTGATTACTGAATTAAGGTCAGGCAGCTAGAGGTTTGTTAAAAAGAGTTAGGAAGGTAAAGTGATCTGCTCTAGTATATCAAACAAGATTCATCTGAAGGCACAGATATCTCACTTGGTTGTAAACTTGGAAAATTTTTTTGCTACTTGTTACACGGTGCCTCTCCATCATTTCAAGTTTTTGCTGTTAAAAGTATCAATTAAATTTTCTTTGTTTTAATTACAAAACTTATTCTGCATTTTTTACCATTCTTAAAGGGTGTTTGACTATAAAATTATAGAACATATTAAAAGAATGTCAAAAGAAGAGTAGGAGGGCTTAATTAAAAGCAGAAAACTAGGGTGCCATGTTCTTGTTCAACTTTAGTATCAAATGTCAATGTTTAGTTACGGCTGATTTGCTGTTGTATAATCCTAGGATTTGCAATTCCCATTGTTTTTACTTGATTGTTTATAAGCTGATCAGTCCTGTTTTTGACTAGTGTGTTGTTATTAGCAAGTTTTGTGGGATAGCTTTCACTGTCAGTTATAGGATCTAGGGTCACACGGTGCCAATCAGTTGGATCGACTAATCAATTAGTAAAGTTGAGCCTCTGGCCTCTTCCTTTTCCTCTGTTTTTTCTTTCTCCACCCCTTTGGCCACTTTTGGGATGATACAAAATTTTCTGAGTCCAAAATCTGAATCAGCCAGGACAACTAGAAATTTGTTGTCACCTGTTGGGACCAATAAAAAAATTCTGAAATTTGGCTGAACCAGTTGGTGCTTGTTAGCTGAAATTAGGTTGGTCCTGTTCCAAATATGTCTGAATCAGATTGACTAATTCATAGGGGTAGCTGGTTCTTTGGTAAGAGAAACCTGATACACTCGTGGTTGCGGTTTCTTATCTTTCATTTGGCCCATACTTATAAGGTCTGCAATTTGAGGTAGATGTTCTATTTTTTTGGGTTTATCCTTGTCATGTTTGTGTCGACCATGCTCGATTCAAGCTAGTTCTCCACTGCTGTTCAGCCTAGTTTCCTCGAGTTCAGTTATCAATCTAGTTTTATGGCTCTTCTTTCACGGTGATGGCAGGAGGGTGAAGCTGCCACAGAGGAAGAAAAGAAAAGTAACCATGTAACCAGGAAGCTGGAGAAGCGTCAGCAGGGTCGAAAACTGGACCCCCACATTGAGGAGCAGTTTGGTAGTGGAAGATTGTTGGCTTCTATCTCTTCCCGCCCTGGTCAGTGTGGCAGAGCAGATGGGTGAGAATGACGACAACCACGAAAAGCTTTATCCAAGTATTTGGCCTGTATATTCTGATATCTTCTGAACTAATTTATCAATCGCCTTTCTTTCTCCAATTCTCAGATACATATTGGAAGGAAAAGAGCTGGAATTCTACATGAAGAAGATCCAGAGGAAGAAGGGCAAAGGTGCAGGAGCAGCAGCTTAAGTGACCTCAATCATTTCCTTTTATCAGTTGGTTTGCATCAGCTTAATGAATCTTGGTGGTTTCTTCTTGAAGTCAACGCTTGACTAATGTTTTGCTCATTTAAGATATCGGACAGCTTTGTTTGTAGGCTACAAGATATTTGAACATTTTGCATTATGTTATGTCCCCAAATGGTCAATTTTTCTACCTAGATCTATCATTAAATAAGAAATTCCTTGATTAAAACAGTCAATGTGTGAAGAGCATTAGGTAGCTATGCTTGATACTTTTTTCTCTTTTCTCCTAGCTTCGATGAACTTGTTGTAGGCACATATAAATTCTAGTCTGGTGGAATCTCTAAATCATATCTCCTGTGGTTGAAGTTACAATCATTCTATTTCTTGCTCAAAAAGAAGGAAAGAAGGCAATAATAAACCATTTTAAGAATAAGATTTTGGGTCAATAGTTCTTTTATTGACACCTTTTATATATGTTTTTAAATGTATTTATATTTTTTTCTTTATGGGAAGGAATTATTATTTTTAGAAAGAAAAGAGTTATCGAGCGAGGATTCAGTATAATGTTCTGAATTATTCATTGGGTAGGTTGGATGAACACCCATCAGATGCATTCCACCCATTCCATAATTTTCCTGTTTTGAGTTAGGCGTTTGTTCTTTATTTCAGTACTTCAGCTCAGAGGGCAGAAACAGATGACCTAATGCATGAACCATAATATCTAAGGTAAGGAAGGTGCATCCCATCCCCAAGATGGATGTAATTTGACCCTCCAAGAACATAGTGAAAAAAGCCATGTTCTAACCCAAAAATCTTGACAGTATATCCTTTGAATGTTGAATGGAGCATAAGACTAAGCAATCACAAATTCACAAGTTATATCAATGAGTCAGTGTCAAAAGGCCAATAATTTTCAATCACAAGTTTTTACCACCAACAGTAATAGCATGCACCAAGTGACATCCCTCTTCACCCTGCTCTCCCACAAATGTGATTCCAGTTCCTGTCTTCCCTCTTCCTTCCAGCCTAAAGTATATTATATGCATGCTAAAAATGCAGTGCATGCAGATTATGCAACATATATGTTTTTCCATAATTTAACTGCATCAATCTCTTGAGAAGCTGACTCAGCCTTCTCAGCTACAATCTCTTGCCATCACAAATTGGGGGATTCAACCAAAAATTCCACCATGTCAAATGAATGAATCATCAGTTGCCCTTAACAGTTAGGCCAACAAATGTAGCTCAGCTGCTCATATGAAAACATTCTAACATTTCTCAGCTGTGGCAGTAGGACACATTACAGGAAAGAAAGAACACCCCCATCCACACATAGCTGCAGTAGATCAAATGGTAACCAGCAAGAATAGGAGTAACAAGTGAAATGCTAGTAAATGCAATAAATCTCTTAATTTGATGGAGTTAACAGAACTCACTTTCGTAGCTGGACACCGAAACTGATTCTACCTTAACAAAAGAGAAATGACATTAATCTGATTGTCTGTATGACTAAAAATATAAGTCACTCCCAAGAAATCACAAGAATAAAAACCAAAAAAAAAAAAGAAAAAAAGAAAGCAAACTCCAGATACGTATCTGAATCATAAGCGACAAACAAAAGGTGATGGAAAGAATGGAAAATCTAATAAACCTATAGAGCATTATACAGCCTTCCTTACCAAGCACAGGATCCATTCCGATCCAGTTGTAGCTTGTGCAGGGCTTCTAAATTATACAACACGAATTTGAAAGAATGAACTGATGGCTGAAAGCAATTGACTCCATGTTTACTCCTCTTGATGGTCAACATGACCTACCATCAGTGAGTCAGTGACCTCAGTGGAGAGGCATGGTGGAACCGGAGGCAGCTGTGCATGGAAAGTTTGGTCTCTCGGAACTTTTTAGTGTAGGAGCAAGAATAACATGGTTCAGCTCACCTGCTCCCCAATAAGATCTAGCCCAACAGCAAGGAATGTGATTCCTTGAAACAATAAGAAATAAAAATGAATCCCCTGTGCAGACAATAGACTTCTCACAGACGCAGTTAACAGAATAAAAGCAAGAGCAAGCTCCTTCCTATATAGACGGTTCCTCCTGGTTTTCCCTGCCTTCTTAGTTACCTCCAATTTGTTTAACTCGGCAAGGCCAGACTCAGAAGATGACCTATGAATGTTTCCATCTTCTATGCTGGGCTCAGGATCCTGTTCGACATATGCAACCAAATCTGCCTCCGATGACCTTCCCAACTTCTTAGTAACTATCCACTCGTACGAACTCCCGAATTTAAAAAGTCCCGATATCATAGCATTGAATTTGGTGACAGACATTGTGTTCTCAAAAAGTAGGTATGGGACTATAAACGGGAATGACCTCGGCGCAGGAAGTATACTGATAACAGACATTAAACCAGGGACATAACAAACAACCCAAGCTGGCAAATGAGCCTCTGGCAGGAACATCGACAAAGGGAGAATGATGCAGAATAGAGTAAATGAGTAGAATGGCAGGATCAGCTTCCTCAAGAGGAAGAAAAGAAAAATCAAGTTGGCCTTCTTGGAGAAACTCACCTGAAATTAAAGAGAGATCAAGAAAATCACTCCATGATTTCATATAAAACCAGTCAACACAAAGGATTGGAATAGATAGAGATGGAGGCCTGACCTTCGAGCGAAGGATGTCCAGAAAGCACATGCGAAGTAGCTGCATTGGACCTGAATGCCACCTATGTTGCTGTTTCTTATATGCCTCATACGATTCTGGCAGTTCACAAAGACACTGCACAAAGAAATTAAAGAAGGGGTAATGTCAAGAAGGATGCCTACAAGAATAAATTGCAGTAGTTCAAAAGAACTAATTTGTGAGAAAAACCTTGACATCATTGAGAAAAATAAATTTCCATCCACACAGGTGAGCACGGACAGCAATATCCATGTCCTCAACAGTGGTTCGCTCCAACCAACCACCAGATTCTTCAAGAGCTTTTATTCTCCAGACTCCAGCTGTTCCGTTGAAGCCAAAGAAATTGATAAATATACCATTAACTTGCTGTTCAACCTCAAAATGAAAAGACAAATTTATGTTCTGCAGCCTCGTGAGCAAGTTCTCGTCCTTGTTTACAAAGGCCCATCTAGCTTGTACCAATGCTAAATCATCATTCCCCTGCACAAAATTTACAAGGATAAAAAAGAGAAATTGGAATAAAAGCATTACAATCATTAAACATAAAGTGCTGTATTGTGCACAGAAAATTCTAAAACGGAGTCTTTGAGACACCAAATAAATCTTTGGTTGGTCTAAAACAAGTATCAAACAATACTTCAAACACCTCATTTCTTGATAATGCATATCTTTTTCTTTATTGACATTGATAATTATATTTTGCAGGTTTCTGCAGACAGGACAGCAGACACATGGTAAAATCATGCTCTCATTCAAGAGCAAGTTGACTATGTGATCTGATTAAAAACCATATTTCACTTCTCAAACTTGATACAATACATATTAGCAGAAAAATACTATTGTTTTTACATCATTACAGAGAAAAAATAGCAGTACCTTAAAATGTGGGATTGTCTTTTTTAAGAAATCAGGTGCTGGCTGAAAATCTGCATCAAATATAGCAACAAACTCGTAGTCTTTCACATAATCACAGCTCATAGCAGACTTTAGGTTCCCAGCTTTATAGCCTGTGCGGATAAGTCGATGCCTGTATAAGATGCGCACTCCTTTTTGCTGCCATTTCTGCACTTCAGCCTTAATAAGGTTTTGCACATCCATATCATCAGAGTCATCCAACACCTGGATGAGCATTCTCTCCCTTGGCCAGTCCTGGATGCAGACTGCCGCAATAGATTGCTGGTAAACCTGTAAATTCAGTATGGAATTAAGCATAGTAGAGAAATGAGATCTCCCTCACATAAAAAAAGAGAACGAATTCAGTACATAAGGGTATTCACAATGACAAAAAGCTTTCTGTGAAATTATGTACTTTCGTGAAATATATAATGGAGTTTAAACCACGCATCTCCTAGAGAGAGGCAACAAATGCTGGCAATAAACAAAAACTCATATTAAGTAGAGAATTAGGATTTTTGACTAAAACATACAGAAACATCGAACAAAAAATAAAACAACCATTTCCATATAGATTTGTCTGAAATCATGATACTAGAAAATCACAAACTATGAAATAAAGTGCTCCAGTGATGCTTAAAATGCATGTACTATTTATTGAGTAGAGAAAAGACAAATTGAGAAAACCGTCCAAGATCATGATACTAGAAATCACAGTGTGAAACAAAGTGCTCTTCCGTTGCTTAGAATGGAAGTATTAATTACTGAGTAGAGAAAAAACAGATTGAGAAAACCTGAATCACAAACAGTTTATATTAGATGTAGGACTTGGAACTTTTGAAGCAGTTTATCTCAACTAAAAGAAGAGTAAATGGCCGATATAAACCAAGGCAAGTGAATGTGATAAACAAGAAGAAATGCACAAAAATGATAAATTTGATAGGACAAGAATTAATTATACTATTATTAAAAAAGCCTCATAATGGTCTCTGTTAAGACATCCGAGTTGGTTAGTGCACAAGTGATAAATCTCAGGTTCGAGTCTATATGTGAGCATGATGTTCGTCATTTGATGTAATGGAAATTAAAAAAAAAAAACCTCATAATGGTCACTTGGAGAAGGGGATTTCATATTAATAAACCAAAGATAGAAAAATTCATAATCATCAAAATTTCATGTATTTGACATTTTGGTACTAAACATTACAGAGAGAAAGTGCTCTGTTGACATGCAAGATAAATTATTGATAGGAAATATATGCAATGTGAAGTCTTGCTTTTGAGTAAGTTATCTTTCTTATAACTTCTAAGCCGCCAAATGCAGAATTTCATATAAGCTGGAGCAACTGAAGTGATTAATGGTTGAATTCTAATAAGAAGAGTCAAAGAGGTGCTTTGGTTGCATGCAATACGAAAGTCATGAATCTAAATTTGAGTGGTACGAGAGACATGTCACTAAATAAATGATTTTGAAAGGCCAATATTAGAAAATTTCAAAGGTCAAGATGACACTTGGTGTCAAGGTAAGATTGTTCTTTTATGGCCCAATTGATAATGATTTGAACCATACGAACACCCTCTCAGCCCATGCACCCTGCAGGAGCCTCTTGCAATGGAAGTAAAATTGAAATGTTATAATAAGTCAAATTAAGATGAACTATTTTTACATTAGGAAGCAATAAGTCAAGTGTTACTGATTGATTTGCAACAGAAAGGTCCGAGAATGAGCGAAAAATGTGACTAAAAAGAAAACCTTTGATCAAAATGTTTAACAATTAAAGAAAAGATTAAACGGCCTCGCATAATTCCTCAATGAAATATTGACTTTGTTATACAGTGAAGATGGTACAGATAATGATGACACTGCAAACTTCTTCAATCACAACGTCATTCCAAATGCAAGCTCCAAATTTTAAGCAAGGAAAGATTTGCTAATGAAGAGCGATAAGAATGCACTTTGAACAAAACGTTCTATTGGCGCTAGAACATAGTTGTTGCCCGCACTCTGCAGAACAATCATCAATAAACTCTCTCCCAAATTATGAAGCTTATAATTTTCAAAATTCTTGCTAACGATTGGATTAATCGAGCATATCTCCGAGATTAGTGATAATAACTCCATGCAAAATCCCATTTTTGACAGAGTTACAACGAAAATTATATCAATTTGCCCCGAGAAAACAAATGTAAAGATTCATGCATTGATCAAGAAAACAAAGAGTGCTGTAACCAAAGGGACCTACGTCGGCTTACCTCCCGCTCGTTACACATCGGGATCTGAAGCAACACCATTGGGTAGTCCTCAACATTCACCGCGCCCCCCACTTCCAAATCTCCCTGGCTTCCATAGTCGACCGCCGCGACCGGCTTCACGCCCCGGAGCCTAATATAAATGAATCCGAGCACCAAAACCACACGATCCACCGACTGCACAAGGAAAAGCACGATGCACACGTTGACCATCATCTGGACGGGCGGCGCAAGGTACCTGGCCCTGATCACGAGCCAATTGGCGTAGACGATCTCGAGGGCCTCGGCGGACGAGGCATAGGACGGGGGGCTGAAGTGCCAGCCCTTGAAGTAAGCGACGAGCTCGAGGGCGAGGAGGACGACAGCGAGGACGAGGAAGGCTCGGATGAGGCGGTAGAGACGGGACACAGGGGAGGGGCGGCGAGTGGCGGTGGAGATCCGGCGTGCAGCGGTGCGGAGGAGGGTGAGGAAGCGGGAGGGGAGGGAGGCAAGGATGGCGGCGGAGTGGTGAAGGCGTAGGAGGAGGAGCCAGGAGAGTTGCCGGGGACTACGGCCACGAGACTTGCCGGCGGCAGCGGGGGTAGTCGGGGTGCTGACGTCGACGGCGGCGGCATCCGCGGAGGCATCCACGGCCGCCGCCGCCGCCGGCGGTGAAGGGTAGGGGGAGAGGAGTCCCTGGGCCTTGAACCGCTCCTTGTTCCACCATTCTTGGAACTCGTAGTTAGGCGGCGGAGGAGACATCGACGCGATGAGATCTCTTTCCTTCCCCCTCTCTCTCCTTCGATCTAATTGTGGGAGGAGGAAGGAGAGGGGCAGAATGGGAAACTAATAATATATTTTAGTGAGAGGACCGGCGAATTCGGAGGGTCCCGTGGTTTCATGAACAAACCAGAACTCCGTTCAGTGAAAGCGTCCATTGAGAATTCCCACTAAGCGTGGGGTCGACAAGAGGAACTCATAATGGGGTCTCCCTATCGATAGATCCAGTGAATCATGCAGTGAGTCATGCACTGAATCCGAAACCAAGGATAGCTGGTGGTGACGTGGCGAAGGATGGGTGGAGGAAGCAACAGCGCACATGGAGACCCGACGAGGGGGTCGTCACCGACGGTGCGGGTGGGACCACGAGGACCGGATCCGATCCAACCCCGACGCGATGGGACCCACTCGAGGCACACGCTTAACACGGACGGCCAGGATGAGCGGCACGGCCCGTGGCATCCCTAGCAATTGCAGTCGAGATCGGAGGGGATCCGGACCTGCGATAGAATTACGGGCTCAGCGGCACGTGCGGGCAGGGAAACAGGTCATCTCGTGACAAGAAAATACCTTTCCACCCGTCCCACTCGACCCGCTCGCCTACCTAGAATAGTAACAGCTATCAATGGTTCGAATTCGGGACCCATATCGGGTACCGAACGGGTTCACGATGACGAAGTGAGAAAAGCATTGCACTTAACATGGAAAGGTTCGACATTGGTAAGCGTAACTCATTGGACAGTCTAATTAGTCAGTTTAAATGTGGGACAGGTCATCATCAGGTTTCAACAACTAATCCCATGGATCCCGTCCATTTATATGCTCTCTATTGCCATGGTTGTTACGGTTGGTGAGACATGTGCATGTATACAACTAATTGTACATGTCCACATCCATCAACATCTCCGCATGCTAAAAGCTCCATAGTTTGGCCTCTTTTTTTTTTTCTAATTAATTGATTTAAATGGGGAAATAAAAGCCACTTCTCCCTGAGGAAATGAAGCTTTACTTCTCTAATTTACTATCTTTCATCATCAATTTAAAATATAAATAGCAACTGTTACTGTTTGTATATTATGAGATTGTTGAATTGGAGAAATCCTGTTCTATAGGAGATTAGTTTTACTTCATGGATTTGTACTTTGTTTCTCATCCTCTCAAATTTGCTGTTATTTTGTTTATTTTTTTACTCTTTTTTTTTTATAGTTGACTTGAATGGTAATTTATGCTTTTATGATTCTCTTTTGCACAAATTTATTATAGGGTTTGATCAACACATGGAAAAAATTCGATTTGGAATGTATTATTATCTGCTAATGGTTTTGTCTTCAATTTTAATTGATAAGAAATAAAGTTTAAGATGAAATAGGAAAAATGTACCAAGCACCATTTTATTAACAATTAAAGAAAATAAGGTATAGTTAAGATAGATGTATAAAAAAATAAAATAGATATATTAATATATTGCTCAATAATTCAATTCTAAATTAAAGAGGATGTTGCTCGGGAAGTTATGTTTGTGTATGTATTTATTTTAAAATGGTCAAAATAAATTGTGTAAATTTATTGATAACTAAAACAAAATAATTAGAGATAAAATGATGGGAATCGTTTAAAATGACACGTGAAATATATTACATACTTTATCTAAAAATTCTCAATGTTGGGTTTTAATTAAATGATGACCTCTAATTGGTTTTCAACTTAGCAGCATCATTTTTTGATCAATTTAATAAAAATATTCTTCGCCTCTTTTCTCTTTTATTGTCTACCCTTCCTCGTTATTACATGTTGTTCCTCTATTTTATTCTTTCTTCCCTTCCTTCTGTTCTCTTCTTATCCTTTTCATTTCTATTGTCTACCCTTCCTCGTTACCTATTGCTTCTCTATTTTATTCTTCTTTCTCTTCCTCTTTTCTCGCTCTTTTTTATTACGGTGGGAGTAAGTATGTAAAATAAAGGTGGGCAATTATGATACCAATAATGATCTTTGTGGCAATGCTGATTTCAAATTAGTGCTTAGTGATTGGGGCAACAAGGCTAAGGTGTAGGTCGAGACGATGACAAAGGATTGGCTGCACCTATAGGAGCTCCGCCTCAAAAGGATGATGGATGATAGTATTAAGGAGGTGATAGAGGTATCTGTTAGTGTCTCTATAAGATGATCTTACTGAGGGAAAGAGATAAGACTATTGTCTATGCTAACGCCTTCATTGTCCTCCTTCTCTCTCTACTTATCATTTTATTAACAATAAGAGGAGGGGAAAGGAGAAATGTCGAGAGAGAGAGGATAGGAGAGAATGAAGTTGAGGTCAAAGTGATGGAAGATAAAAAGATATTTTTATTAAATTAATAAAAATATTTTTTAAGAATTCAATCAATTGGAACAAATATTTGAATAGTAATTTAAATTTTAAATATTTCAAATAAGATATTAAGATATTGAAAGAAAAATATATAAATTTAGTTTCACCGCTCCGCGGGTAATCTTACACTGTTTGAAAAGTTATAGTAGAGTTACTTTTATACCCCTTACCGATTCAAATCTCGCAACGTCTCTCTTATATCGTTAGGGTTGCGGCCTTCTCCCGTTTCCTCCCTCCGCTCGATATCGATGAAGGCAATCACGAGTGCAAGGGGCGCTCGGCCTTAGTGCAAGGGGCGCTCGGCCTTATTAAACCTAACCCCTTTCTCTCACAGGGGCAATCGATCCCTGACCCGTGTCGCCGGACAGGTCTCCGTTCTCCTCCCCCGCCAGTGCCGGAAAGTCCATCTCCGCGACCGCTGCCTGGAAACGCTCTTTGAAAAACGGATTTCACCTTTCCAGGTGCCGGATTCTGGGGTTCAGGTACCTCCTTGGAGTTAGTGTCGAGGGCCATCTTTTCTAGCTTCGTTTCCTCCAAGCAAACAGGAAAAAGAAGACGATCTATCTTTGAACTGGTGGGTTCAGAATTGCAAAATTTCCCATTCGGATTACTGTTGACGCTATGGTTTGGACAGGTCGTTTTCTCAAGAACTAAAAACATCAAGATGATATCTTTTGAATTGTTGCCATGCCGTTAGTGATGTTCAGCATCTCAATATATGCATATGGTCAGTTGCATAGTGATTCTTCTATTCAAATTCTATAGGACTTCTTTCTTCGGATGTACTTGTCTGTAGAAAAGGTTAATGGCTGCTTGATGATTTATTTGGCAAAGACCAGCAGGGGAAAGACTTATACTATGTGGGGACCTCCCAATGCGTTATTAGAAGATGCTTGGTATAGAACTAACAGAGGATTGACCCTGTGTGCCTATGAGAGGCTCTTTTCTTGCATAGATGAAGTGGGTAACTTTAAACCTTCTGCTTGGTAGGAAACCTTGGTAACTTCATGCTTAGAGAGTATTTATTCTAGGAACAACTGAAGCACTCTGACAAACAGCTGAATTTTCAGTCCTATTGTTCTTTCCTGGAGGCAATTGTGCTGACGTTACTTGATATTCCAAGTATTTCTAGCTTTGTTCCATTTCTGGTTTGTGATTTATCAGGCTATTGTGTTTACAGGTCTACAATGATGAAATCACAAACCTGCTGGAACTGACATAAAGGAGTGCCAAACCAATTTTGGTCTTTTACCGTTTCTTCATTACTTGCCTATAGCATTCTCTGTTGTTTCTGAAATTGGCCATATCTTTCAGATTAAGGTGGATGTTTCAACTGGTATTTGTGTTGATTATTTGACAGAGGAGTTTGTTCGTATGATGATGTAAACCAACTATTAATGAAGGTGAATTATTATCAGGAATTCTTTATCAGTTATATACTTACTATCGATAAGCATCATTCAGGAAACTGCATAAATTGCACATAATCTCATAGATACAACAGAAATGATGGCAAAATAAATAAGTTATTTGTTGTGTCTTTATTTGCTCTCCTATGATACTTTATTTACTCTCCTATGATACTATCTGTTTGGAATTTGCTCTGTGGATCATTGATTGGGAAACAATCACTTTTCAAATTAGTGTTATATTTATCAACCTGTTTATTTAATATATTTTCTTTAGAACATCTATCTTTTTATGACTTCAGGCACCATTAAACTAAGTTTTCTTTATTCCGTGCTACCCTTCTTAAAGATTTTTAACAATCCATGCCAAGTTCTTTTGCTTACAGCCTTTTTCAATGCCACTTTTCTTCTTAATTTTTTCTAGTTCTGTCTGTACTTATTTTTTGATTTCAAGTCATGAACACCATGATCCCTATTTCTGCTGGTCACAGACTTCCCCTTTCTGCCTAACATTTTACCAGTATGATAAAATGAGTATTGAAACACATACTGGAACATAATTTGTTTTAGAAACCTAATAGTATTGACATCAGAAAGAACCTATTTTTTGTCTTTTCCTTGGTTTATACTGGTCAAATTATGATGTCTTGGTATATAGATTTGTCGTTTGCTAGGTTCTTGTATTTTAAGGTATATACACATATATAAGAAAACATATGCCTTTCTATACTTGAAGTGGAATGCATTCACTTCTAGAATTACTCATTTGACCTGCTAAACTAATATTCTATGTGGAGTCACCGTTGCTACATTGGCCAAAATGATTTGGTCATATAACTAGTAGGTGGCAAATCAAATCATGTAGTTATTGCTCTTATCTTTTGATGAATGGACTGTTGGAGTGCCACGATCTTCACATTGAAACCCCTGATACCCTCGTTTAAGCTTTATTCATAGACCAGAATCCTCCTTAGAATTTTATATTAGCAAATTTTAAGAAAGCCATCTCCATATGTTAACATGTGGTTGTCCACATAGGACTTTAGAAAGATTCTCTAATGTCTGTACACACTAAATAACTGTGTGAAGCAAGACTGGGCATGTGCTCCAAACTCCAAAATGTTTGAACTGAAGTTATTAGTAATGAGCTCCTGTAATGGAGACAAGACCTTCCTTTCCTCTTTTCTGATTTGGGACTATCTTGGTGTCACAATAAGAGAACTTCATACTTCATCTACATACATTGAATAAATAATGTTGAAGTTCCAGTCAAATGCAGATCAGATGCAACTATACTTTTAATCAATCTACTTTCGAGGGAACTTCATATGCTTAAAGACCTCAAAGATGGACTATCATAGGCTTTGTCTCTTGTCTCTTTTGATCAAAATGTGGGGGATTTACCACTATAAGATAACATGGAATGTGTAAGATCAGAATAAGCTGTTGGAGAATATAGATTTTGTCCAGAATGCTCCTCCCTTTAATTAAACCTGTTTGCTTTAGACAAATTAACATTACAAAAGGTGTAGCTAATCTTAATTTGGATGAATCTGAGCCTGAGCCTTCCTTCTATTCCAACCCCTTTGATTCACAGCAAATGGTCCTTGATCCATGTGGCATAATTTAGGGATGCAATAAGATTTAAATTACTTATCAGTGCACCCATCCAGTTTTCAAGTATTCAGAGTGTTTCTGTATATTCAGAACTTAGAAGTTGGATATCCAAAATTTGGATCTTGCTTGGGTTCTATTAGTAGTCCTATATTTAGAACAAAGAAATTGGATATCCAGAAAAGTTATCACTGTATTTATGTTCAGTTTTATAGTCTTATAGATAATTAAATATAGAACTCTTTACTTTGATGTTGGTCACTTTTTTTTGTCATTAATTCTCAAACTCGCTATCTGACAAGTTCGAATATTTAGGTTACTTATCTCAAACCAACTGAATGCCTCACAGCTAGTCTCCGACATGGTCTTCAAATTATTGGTAACTGGCAGCAAACCTCAGTCCCAAGAAATTCATCTTTCAGGTTTTCTATCAGTCCATTGAAGGCAAATTAATTGTCTCAATAAACAAGGTTGATGTTGGAATTCAAGCACTTGTTCAAGATTTAGAAGTGCGAGAAGAGCTTCCTACTATGTAGTTACTGTAATAAGAAAATTCTATAATATTAGGGTAAACATTCCAACAGAAGCATGCAATTGCAGCCGGCACCTGCTGATGAATTGGTGCCAATTGATAAACACAGTATGCATATACCAAAATTGGGTCACAAAAATTATAAGTTGAGAAAATTATTATTTTGTTTTCGTTTTTAATCTTTTGCATACCTTGTATCTAAAGGTTGTTCTGAATAATTGGAAATCTTTCCCTCATTCCCTCAAAAAGAAATGTACTGAACATCTTTCTTTTTGTGATAGGCAGTGGAGCAAGTCTTGGTAGGATCCATCAGGTGAGAAATGGCACTTGAAGCAAGCTGCTGAAATTATGCAGCTAAATTGTTTATGCTCGACTTCCACCTTGAGTTTTGTACTGAGTTTAATGTTTGTTATGTTCCATATGATTGTGGATGTGGTAGGTCCAACAATATAAACATGAACAAGAATGCAATGTAATTGTTGCTCAAACCCTTGAGGGTAAAATCTCTCAGATTGAGACTTTTATGGATTAAGTGAAGAGTTTATTGCGCTTGTGTATGAACATAAGGTTTTACCAATCCTTGATCCTATGTTTGACATTTTTTTATCTCTTTAGTTGTCTTACCAAGATTTTCTATCTAAACTTTCTTACTAGTACTAAAAATTCTATGCAAACTATAGCTTCTTGAAGAAAAATACGAGAATCATCCAGAGGTTTTATGGGTAAATATTGAACTGAAAAGGGTGCCGGATGAGCTTGATGGCTATGTTGCAAATTTGCAATGCTACATGGTTTCCTTTTCTTCTTCTGAATTGACTCCTTGCTCCTCTCAGCACAACATCTGAGTTGGTTAAAGTGCTGATAATAAAGTTGAAGCAGGGAGGACTAGTTGGACAGAAATAGCGAGAAACTGTTCTCTTGTTGAAGAACTTAGGCTTGCATTTGAAGCAAGTTGTTCTTTGGCTGAAAAGTTGAAAGTAGAACCTGATCCTGAGAAAAAAAAAATGTGCCAAGGAGCTGAAAGAGGCAGTACAAACAACAATGCAGGATCGTAACCAAATTTTAGGACAGTATGCGGAACTTCAGGAGAAGCATACTGCACTTGTTTCAAGAAATCAGTAAATCAGCAATAGAATTGAGGATGCAATTGGAGCAGCAGCAATAGCTGGTATCAAGGGAGCTGAATTAAAGTTTATTACTTCTCCTGCAGCTGAAGTTTTAATCTTAAAATCAGAAAGAGAGAGGGAAAGGTGACAATGGAAGGATGAAAATAAAACCCTTCAATCAACTGAGAGACACTGCTGAAGCTCTACAAACTGCCAGAGATTGTGCGGCTATAAGGAGCAGAGGAAGCTGCTGCAATTGGTGAGGTACTTTTTTTTTCCCTTTTGCTGTTTCATGCATTTTCATGTAGTGAATTAATTCTCACATTAAGATTCATATCAAATTTGTACATTCACACTGGTGGTGTCCAGTGGGAATGTGTGGGCAAGATTATACTTATTGATGTCACTTACAATAGTATAGTTGCCCATATGCAAATCAATGTGCTATTACATCTATGCTTTCTTGTAAGAGCAACATGCATATTCCTCCATAATGCTCTATGGAAGTATCCAGTACATAGGACTTAAAACTTACATATCAAGTTAGATGTATCATGGATACCTGCTGTCTCTATAATGAGAGAGAAGCTATACCTTTTACCGAAGATGCAACGTACCATAATGTACTGCTCAGTACAGGCAGTATGTACAAGTCTGACAGTGGTCCGGTACAGGTGATATATTGGTAAACTCCCATGTATCATGTGTCGGTATGCTCGATATAGCTCGGTACATACCGTATTGATAGCTGGTTAGTACACCGGTAGGACCGATAAGGCGAACCATGCTTTTGATCTTTTTTTTCACTTGCTCCTTGGCCTCGGACCCATACTTTGTGGATCATTTGTGACATTGACCTTCATATAGTGTTGATTTCATCCAAAAGCTACAACCTATGCCAACATTTGATATGGTTGCTAATGTTAGAGTCTATTGAATGATAAGCAGAGTAACATATTGCTTAAATGTTAGGAAGTTAAGATTCAGAGGCATCTAGCATCCACTGCAGTTTCTGTGTACTCAACTTTTGTTGTGTCACTAATTGTTTTGTTGGATTTTCTCTTTTCATACCAAAAGTTGCGGAGATTAGAAAGACTTTCAACTGTGATAGACTGAACTGAGGTGTATAATTGGGACTACTTAGCTAAGAAAAGCTTTTCATGGAACACCATGTAATTAATTGTCTTTTATCTCACCAAAGTAAGCAGGTGGTGGTTCATGAATATTCCTTGTTAATTTAGCTTTGGTGTGAAGTCAATTATGGTTAAACATCTCTTGGATAACTATGTTTTGGTAAGGAAATTTCTTATAGGATTTATCTGAGCAGCAGCTATCTTCTGCATTGGTCTTTTGCTTTCAAGCTCTTTATGTTTGTCTTTATCATCTTTTGGATAAATTACATTTTAAAGTGGATTTCATATAGGATAAGTCTTTTGCTTTCAGTTTGTCTATGTTTATCTTTCTTATTTTACTATACATCTTGCAGAAAGAGCATTATTGGCAGAGGAGACAGAGAAGGCAAACCAAGAGATAGATTAGTTGAAGGATTATGATATGAGAAGTTGTTTTACTGAATCAGATACCTGCAGAATCATGTTCACAAAGAGAAGCCCTTGGACACATTGAATTTGATGATTCTGAAGTGGCCAAATCTGATAAGGGAAAGCATGAATAGAGCTGTATAGAGGAGTTTGAACCCTTCTGCTAGGGAGGGGATACCGAATTGTCCATAGATTATAATTCATGGTTCTCTGGTGATGATCAGCGCAATATTTAAAATCTTAAAGGATGTCCCAGCAATATGTTTGTATTACTAGGAGAAATGTTGCACAACACCTCAAACGTTCGTAACATAGCACTTATATGTTCTGTATTGTTCCTATATACAGTTTCTGGATTTCACCAATTGTGCTAGTTCTGTGAAATTGCATCTGGAACAATTTCCATTCCTGCACGGTAATAACAATCAGGTATAGTTCTATGGTTCTAGTTTTAGTTTATAATCTGCACATGTTTTTAATAATTCTAGTAATGCATGAGTTTATGCTTAGCAATGTTTGTGCTTACTACCAGGTGCAATACAAATCCTATTATATTAGGTGGCGTATCTTCACTTATTTCATTACCTGTCAACCTATTACTGAACATTTCTTCTCCGAAAATTCATTTCTTTACTTTCTGGCTAATCATGGGTTAAATTTATTTCTGTGGTTATTCACTTTTTGATTTGAAAACAACCTTAATGTAGATCTGAGGCTAGTTAGCTCAGCAGAAATGAACAGTGGTAGATGATGTTATTGCTTTGTAACTTAATTATTGTGTGTTTCTTTTGGGGTGTTACAGTAGGCAAATATAGCTCCAGACTCTCTTGTGCAGATAATCTGGCAACCCTTTAGAAAGTCAATTTCTTAGGTTGCTGGCACATATTTATGCATCTCATACCAATGATCTGAGATTATCTTAATCTTCAACTAGTTTATAGTCATCTATAGGCTCCAAAGGGGAAAAAAAAATTCCACACCCTAAAATTAGTAGTATTAAGAGTGCCCAGATCATGGAATAGAAACTTGTTTGTGACATTTCATGTTAATTAATTGGGCAATGATAGTAGGTTACATTGCCAGTTGGTTGAGATGGATGTTTAAACACTCAATGCATCTAATTTAGCCAGCTTATCTGCGATAAGGACCGCTATACGAACAATAAATAAATATAAATGTTGTGTGACTTATTAGTATGGGATTAAGATTAGTACTATTGACTGTCCAGCTTACTTGATAGAGAAGAGTGCACACCATGACCATGCTTCTTGTCTGGTGTTAATGCTTCACCTAATCACAATATATATTGGTCATCATCGTCTTATCACTACAGCATGTCTTATGGGAGATCAAATTATTAAGCCCAAATGCAGCATGCTTCCTGCTAAATGTGATCAAAATTTCTTAGTCAAGCTAGTGAGTTACTGAACTACTAGCAATATGGATTAGTGCCATGGGTCCACATCATAGTATAAAGCAATGATCCAACAAAAGGCCAATTTTTTCTTCCGCCCTAGTTGCCTTGGATGTTGTTAAGGCCTTCAAGTTGATCAAAAGTAATGTCCATATCTCCTACAGGGATGGATCTCTCTGATGCAGACAGCCTACCTACAAGATTCATTAGGTTTTCTGTGAACTGAAGGGCTGGGTTTGAAAATAGTCTACAATGTCAAAGAGATCATGAAGCTGGGGAACTCATCACCCTGTTGAATGCAACTGTTGACTCATCTCATGACATTTGAAGGGCCAAATGATGATGAACTCACTCACAGATTCAAGTACTGTGAGGGCGCATTGGGATCTTAACAATGTAGAGGTAAAGATACAGAGCAGCTTTCAGCATGATTCCAAAAGCTGTAACCAATGATGGCCCAACCACCCGAGTTGGTTTAATTATAATGCCCTGATGCAATGATGCAATTTGGTAAAGTGGGTCCAAGATCTCAAGCACTACATCTAAGTGCTTGATTAGTGAAGGACAAGAAAAGAAAAAGGATTAGAGTTTATTAAACTAAGGATTGAGAGAGTGACATGAGCAGTCCAAATCCATATTTGTTGAGGCAATTTGCTTGCAAGTCTGAGCTGCTTCAGTTGTACTGATGGTTAGTTGGAAAGGCATGTAACATGTTCACTGTTTAGGGTGGTTGGTGAAGCCAATGAGATGAGAAGAAAATACCTACCATCAATGGGAGCTGGAGCTAATGATAGCCTACTCAATGGACTGCATAATTATCATATTTCTTTTTCTTTGATTTGGTAACCTTTGAATTCATCCTGCATATTTAGTTTGCATTGGTGAGAAAAAACACAGAGAAGAATGTACCAAATACTGAAAGAAATGATTCAGTGTTGAGAAGCTCAAGTTTTGTGCAAAATCAATTGAGAAACAAAGAGTGCAGCCATAAATGTTGGTTCCATCAGCACGGCTTCCAACAGGAAAAAGCACCAGAACAACAAATGGATGCTTGTCCAAATCAGAGGTCAGCAAGGTTTAATGACATATGACCTTCCAATATCTTTATACTTATTCAGTATTTCAGACCAGAGTCGCTAAAACTTGGTCTTCGTTTAAGAGGTTACCATCACGCACACCTTCACAAGAAACGGATGGATGTTCACAACCAACAAGACAAGAAAAAGAAATAATGATGAAGGCAGGCTTTGATAGAGCAGACACTTCAAAATTGCTGCTGCAAGAAATTTAAACCACCATGGCTTCCAGCTAAGTTGTTTCTCTCTTCTGTGAACTGTAGAGCCATAATGATTCAATTTTATGACAGTTCATTGATCCTTGTCAACTTCAAATGTGCCAACCTAGCCAATCTGATGATGTTCCACTGGTAACAGGAACACAACATCAAATGGTCCATCTACTTTTGCAGCAATGGAGGACAGCTTACACGGATGCTGATGGACAAGCAATTTGGTTGCTAGGATGCATAGGTGGCCCAAGGAAACAAGCAAGAGGAGAAGTTCCAAATTCCATTTGATCTATGATCTTCTTCCAGTTCAAACAGGTAATACTAAACTGTTCACATTGACAGAAACCAGTAGTATCCCCTAACAACTGTTAATTCATCCATTTTTGGAACTCAAACTGAAGCAGTTCTCTTAAAATGATTCAACTTTGTCGACAGAGATCATGAGAAGCACCGGAAGGAAGGTAAAAGTTTCAGACAACCAACAATTTCATTAATCGGTAACTGATAGTTTTATCATAATGATAATACAAAATAGCATTGCCATACTGAATCATTTCTGCATCCTTGCTCTTGCTCTCAGTCTCACCCTGTTACAAACTCATATCTGAGGCAAGAAGAAATTGTCACAGAATTCTGCACTCGGACCTAATGCTGTTAGTTCAGAGCTCTAGGTGTTGTTCGACACCAGTGTCTCAGTAATTATATACAAAAGGCTTCTAGTTTACTATGAAATCATACAAGCATAATTCGATCTTTACTTAACTTGTCATTTTTGCCTGCATCTATTGTACACATCACAAAAATTTTCTTAAAATCTTGTGAGTTAACGTAGTCTTTCGATTCACTCCACAGGCATAGTTTGGGAGGAGAATGCAGTCCCCTGGCTCTGCCCCAAGCCCATCTGAACAACATACTGGAGGTCATCCTCCCAGAGATTTCCAAGCTGAAACAGACCAACATTGCTTTGATCATAAACTAATTCTTTTAGCACATCCGGTTCATGGCTACATTCGATGGCAACATCATTACCTGAGAGGTGGCATCTGTGAATCCATCGAGACGAGGTAGTTGCATGGTGGGGGGCCGTCGTAGGGAGGACTCTAATGGATTCAAGGATCCTTGCACATCGAGACTATTCGTGACAATGCTCTGGAGAGGAGTCCCCTGAGGCTGCTGAGCATATGAGAAGGCTGTGCTTGCCATGTCTAATGGATAGACTTGCTGCGGCAATTGTCCAAGCACTTGATGCATCTAAATGACAAAGGCAATATAAGGTCAGTCAAAACTCAAATTCGAGGGATGAATGACTGAAGAGAATGCACAAGCTTACATCTTTTGGGAGGAGAGCCTCCATGTTGAAATCTAGCTGGGGATTCAAGGCAGCCAGCTTCATCGACAAGAACTGAAACCAGATTGCATAAGCTGAGATGACGAACCAGTTTCGTAAGGGAGGTAACAAGTGACTGTGACTGTCTTTTATGGTTCTTACCTCGACTTGCCGCTGCAATGACTGCACATAGTTGATGATCTCATCGAGCATAAGTGCTTTGCCGGTTACCTATTTGGAGGCATCAAAACTTCAATTTTGGAGCAAGAACTGATCATGATTTACCAAACAAACAAAGCATCAAAATCTACCTTATTGCAACCTGGCACAAGATCCTGCAGAAGCTTCATCCTCTCACTGATCTTTTCTCTTCTGACCTGGTAGATCAAGGAAGAAGACACAGTCATGAAAACAGGAAGCTAAGAGCAGAGGATCACTATAAGAGAAGGGTTCTTTCGGTACCCGCTCCGCCAGGCTGTGGCTGTCGGTGGCTTGCCCTCTTCTTGCCCTGACATGGATGTAGTCCTTTGGCGGCTCCGGTGGCTTGGCATTGCCCTCTTCGCCCTGTTTCCGACCGACATCGCCGTTCTCCTCCGTCTTTGGCTTGACGGCCGCATCCTTGTCAGCTCCATCGGTTTCAGCTGGTTTGCATCTCTTTGCATCAGAATTTTCCCCGTCGCTCGGCTGCAGTTGGAGAATTCTTTCGCTTTTAAGTACTAAATTGGCTGCCAAACTCAGTGTAATAGTGGATTCTGAGACACTACCTTGGGAGGATTCATGTTGGAGGAAGATAAAGGTGCCCCCTTTGCTTTGCCTTTGGAAGCTGCTTTCCGCTTCCTCGCGTTGTTCTCCGCACCAACCGCCGTCGTCCTGTCCGACACCGACGACGCCTCCTGGCTGTTGCCGAACTCCGCTTCGCCACCAAACTTGGACCTCGTCTCCATCGCCGGTCTCTCTGGCTCCGACACTGGCACCTCCTTGCCATTGTCCGAAGCTACCATCTGCACCGCCTTCAGAGACTGGCTGCTTGAGACCCTCGACAGCTTTCCAGCCTCCGGAAGCCCGAACTGGCCGCCGAGCCCCGCGTAACCCCTCGCCCCAAAGCAAGAGAACCTCGCGGCTCTCTCTGCGAATCCTGGGTCGGCGGCAAACGGCGAGAATTTCCCGGCCGCCATTTGATTCCCGGGCACCGGTACGCCTCCCCTGCCCTGCTGCTGGTGATCCATGCCGGAAAGGTTGAGCTTTGGGGGGGAATTCAGCGGTGTACTGTAACACGAGGTGTTGGCGCTTTGGTATCGCGACGGCGGGGACACCTCCCCGGAGTTGCAGATGCTGCCGAGCCGACCGATGAGCTCGCCGATGATGACGCTGTCGTTGCCGGCCGGAGTGTTGGACGAAGGCGACGAGACGAGGGAGCTCAGTGCCGACTCGAAGTGGGCGTCGTGGTGCATCGGCTGCTCCCACCCGAGGTTGAGGAAGGAATTCGGTAACTGGTCGGCAGCGGCCGCGCGGGAGTTCATCTCCGGCGGCATCCCAGCGTCCATGGACTGCCAATTGACGCCAAAAAATCGCTCCTTTTCCATTCTCGAGCAGCGAAACTGAAGCGAGACGCGGGAAAAGTGGGTGAAGGTGGGATTTATGCAGGAGGATTCGGAAGAAAAGAGCGACAGAGCGTGGAAGAACAAACGAGCAATGTCAGAGGCAGCAAGGGAAGAGAACAGAAGAGAAGGAGAAAGGTAGAGTTGTTGACCTTTGGGTATATATAGATAGATGAAGCAAGGAAGGTAGAATCACCGCAATGGGCGGTGACGGTGATGCCGGGCGTTGGACGCCAGCGGAGGAGCCGTGTGTGCCCCTCTGCCAGTAAAACGTTTTATGGGAATCAGCTCAGTATTGGGTGGAGAGAGAGAGAGAGAGAGAGAGAGAGAGAGAGAGAGAGAGAGAGAGAGAGAGGGAGATTAACAATGAAGTTCTTAATTATCTGTAAGCTCGGAGTCTCTCTCTAGTTATTTCTCTTTGTATGACAAGGGAAAGAGACATTACTTTGAGGAAGAGGGAAACAAGTTCCAAATCACAAGAAAGATCGATAAATGTCCCAAGTTTGGAGACATTACTTTTGAGGAAGAGAACTCCCAAGTCATCATATCTCATCTTCCATCCTATTCTGCTGCTGCTCTTGGAGTGCTTGCAAGCTGCAAGAGTTGGAAATGCTGTCCGGTTGAGTGTGCGAAATCTGGGACAATGGCCTTCCTAACCTGTTTGAGTTCCCTCATTTACTAATGTTCAAACTAATAGGATCCACAATTCCTGGATCTTATTTCTGACATTGGAGAAGCTGTTCCTCTTCTCTGTGGACATGATGAACTTTATGAACAGCTAGCTAATCGTTCTCTTGTTATTCCATCGAACATGTAGCTGTGCATAGCTGCAATATCTTTTGGCAGAACAAATGTGTTTTATGTACATGACACTTTTTGTGGGAATTGTTGTGATTATAACAGTGACTTTTATGGAGTTCTCTACATTGCCAATTGTGATTCTGAAGACCCACCACAACTCAGAGTTGCTCTGTTCAAGAGTTCTGAACCCACAGTGTGAAGCAGTAGAGTGAGCAGTGCTGAAACCAGCACAGAGAGTTACTGCTTTCTGGGAAAGATGAGACAGATGAGCCTTCTGTGTCCACAACCAGCTCCTGCTTGAGAGATCAAGCAGAGAGCCATGCCAGGGGTTGGGAAGATGCTTCATTTGATTTGGAGCAAACCAAGCTTCCATTGGTTTTGTTAATGCTTGCCAGAGTGGAGGTTACAGGAAGATGCAAGATATGTTGATGAAAAAGGAAAAAGAATTATTGGAAATTGTCTGCTACCTGGAAAAGCTTGAGGCATTCATTCACCAACTTCTTGTTGTTTAATCCTTGGAATCAGTGTCCTCAATCATATTATACTGCCAGTGTCTTTGGATTGATGTGCACAATCACATGCTGGTGGAGGCAAAAGGAAACACAATTTGATTTGATTGGACTCCAGTGGATTAAAATAAATCAGGCATCCCCTCCTATTTGCCACCCCAAACCATTGTTAATCAAAACCAAGGTGAAATTTCCTCAAGCAATCATTGGATTGAGAGGGGTAAAAAGTCAAGAGTGATTTCGAAGCATCAAAGGTTAATTAAGTATGATTCCTTTTTTTTTTAAAGAAATATTATATGACAATAAACGATACGCGAATTGATAGCATCAAATATTAAATCTCTTCAAAATTAAAAATGGGTTAGCTCGAATCAACCAGTATTTTGTTTTGTTGACCGGTCAAAATTTTCGGTCCTAATTTATTTTGTATTTTCTAGGCCATGTCAGATTTATTGAACTTTTCATCCTTCAAAAAAGATTATAAATAAAATTGTCAAACTGTTCAAGTGTGAGCTTTGCTCATATCAAATTTGGAAGTAAAAGTCAAAATCTGGTTGACATAATTGCTGTGATCCTGTGGATTTTGGTACAACAAGTCCATGCTGGGCTGTGCACCTCTCTACTACATCCAAGAGTAGGCTTCTAATAATTGTAGTATTTTTCTTTGTAGGATTGTATTTTTAGGTAGGTCATATCCATCATTAGAGCAATCAAATGTTTACTTTGGAGCATTCTTGTTTGTTATGTAAGCTTCAATTATGATTTTGGATTTGTTAATTGGACATCTATATCTTGGATAACTCTATGCCTTTTCTTTTACTGTCCATAATATTATTACACCTTAAATCACAACATCTAAAACACATCCTTGTTCCAAATCATTTGGCTTTGCTTCTAACTGTAAATTATTTATTTAGAAAGATCAAATATTTATTTAGGGGAAAATTTCATTGGTTATGAAGAGCAACTTCTTTCCTTTGGGATAGAAATTGCTAAATGTGCTTTAGAAGAGTGTTTCTTTTCTATTTAATTTTTTCTAAGAAAAAAATATGGTTTTTGGGACAAAATATTATACTGATTCATTTGCAAGTTGTAGCATCTACTTTGACATTACAGAATTCTTGCAATGAATTGATTAGTTAGGTGGCAATTTGGTGAGATAGGCAGCATCCCTCCAACTCTTCTGAAAGTGTTCTTCAATCCACATTGAGATCTTTGACTCACCTACAAATTGCAGGACTAGTTAAGGCTGTTGTGCCTTCTCATCCATGGCAATAAAAGAATGTGTTGTTGCTATCTTATCAAGGCTGCAAGAACACTTGGTTTGAGAAGGGCAACAAGTCATCACAACAGAATGGATAAACACCATCACTTTCCTACATAGCTGCAGCATGCCATCTCTTGGTCTCTTTTAGTTCATGAAATCAACACTAAAAAGCATGACTTTATGTTGGTCTAAATCTTCCATGCACAAGGAATAATGAAATGTAGTCTTTTCAGCCACACAAACCAATCCTCAGAAGAAACAAATAAGACTTTTGAATTTTATTACTTGGATGCTGAACAATGGCTCTACTTTATGTTTGCACACTAAATATGTGAGTTAGTTCAATGTTAAATTCATAAGATAGTTGGCATGCATAAGAGCAGAAAAGTACAGTATGAAACCCTGTCTCAGGCTGTATTTTTTACAACTCATCTGCAGCAGAAGAATCAACAACTCTATAATGGCAACTAAGACCAAAACAATTACGCGGTTAAGCGAGGAGGGGGAATAGTTTAACATGTTGTCAGTCATATAAAACAGTGATTAACATATATACATAATTCTTTTAGGTGAGGAGGCACCAAGCAAATGACTGGCTTAAGAAGCAATTATTTATAGCATGCCTGCTTCTGGTCTGCTGAAAGGAGCAACTGTTCATTGCAGACAGTATGAGAGAAATATGACATGAATGAATGGACACCACATGAAGTCAAGATCTAACCACCACTCCTCTCTCCTCTTCACCTTATCAGCACTCTTAATAATATATGCAAGAGCTTATTTATTCACTTGAATTCAAGCTTTTAAGATGCTCTGTGATGCCTGAATGACTCAGTAAGTCTATGTTGGAATTGCCTCACCATTGGGTAGGATAACATGGCCTTCAATGATTGAAATGTTTAGGTTCATGTGTTTGTGAGTTCTAGAGGCTGATAAAGAAGCCAAGGTTTCTGTACACTTGCCACAGATGGGACATTCATTAAAGAAATATTCGGGGGGAGAGAGAGAGAGAGAGAGAGAGAGAGAGGAAGAAAGGATGGAGGCTTTTCTGGGCTTCTTTCTGCTGAGTTTCTGAGTTCTCAAATCTGAATCAGAGGCAGAAAGAATCATGGTGGCTTAATGATTAGAGTGAATTGTGGTGGTGGTGCCTTTTCTTCTCTTCTGCAAGTTGTGTTTTTGATACTCCCATTCTTAGGTTGTATTATAAAGAGGAAAAGTTGTTGTCTTCAACAAAGATCCAATTCATGATTGATCTGATTACCTGATAGTTTGACCACAGCAGGGAGACTGCAGCTCTGACAAAAATATTTTCCTCAGCTTCCATCTGGTTGCCAAAGAAGTTACCTACAAATTTAAAATGTTGAAATGCATAATCTATTGAAATATAAACTCTATTTTGATGATTTAACCATTAGTTATTCTCAAATATTGTTTGATATTTAAGGTCCTCATGGTAAGTATCCAGTTCTATATACTTTCTACCTGTAAAGGTAGAACAAGGTTAGGACCAGATAGAAATTGAAGGAAAGATGCATTCTGCCTGCAAAGACAAGTTTTTCTTTGTTTTCTATGACTGCAAACTGCACAATTGGAATTGATTACCTCCAAAATCTCATTCAGAAAAATCACCAAACACATAAAGATAATTTCAAGTTTATTCTTGTCTTGTTTTTCCTCTGAGTATGTGATTGCCAAGCTTGTAGGTGACTGCTAGCCATGAAATCTACTCAGAAACCAAAGACATACTTCCAACCAAGTTTCCCTTCCACCGAAACAGTTCATCATTTTAGCCTCACATTAGTAGAGGAGATAAATGTCTACAATGTTCTTCCTTCCATCTCTTGTTTTATTAGCAACCATGTGTGAACAAACTCATTAGCACACTGTTTTAGCCTTCAGTTTTCTTCTGAGTTGACACCTCAATATATTACTACTTCAATCATCAAGATAAAAAATATATCAAACATTTTCTAGTTAACATTTTAATATCTCACCGATTCCCGAGGTGCCGATTTCTTTATGTTTACATCAGCCGACTGGAAATATTAAAAGGTTAATCCCTTGTTTTGACCTCACTATCTGCAAGAAAATAAAAATGCTGTCTTCTTAATTTTATATGCAGTGAACAGTCTCAGTGTCTCCTTTTTGGCCTTTTACTCTCTTCTATCTTCTTCTTTACATAGATATTGCACTCCAATTCTAAGTCTAAATGTGGTATCATAGGCAGCAAATGCATTGAACAAACTCACATCATAAGACCTTAGATGAACAAATTGGATCAAAGCCAATTTGGTAGATAACAACCACATGTTCATCAAGTTGCAGCAAGTACAAAGCAACACTTCATGGATGATGGGTTGGGCACCAAATCCATATTCTTTCTCTGGACAAGCTGTCACCCACCCTTGCCTTTGATAGTGCTTGATCTTTTAATGAGTTTGCTGGGACAGACAACAGATTCACATAGGTTTGATTCCAACCTGAGAATTCATCTACATATTCCACAGTCGAGTTTACCTCTTTGGCATACATGCATCAGTATAGATTTCAAGCTATATGCATACTGTACAGTACACGACCATATAAAACTATCTTCCTACCAAGCACACACATGAAGATGACACTGAATCCACCAACAACACCCAAATGTCACCATCCTTAGTCTTTAATAATGGCATATCTTCTTGCTTTTCTTTCTTTTCCAAGTTTTGTTGGCTTAGAGATCTGTGCCAATCAATTTTCTATCCT